AGCATGCATGTTATGTTACATGGTTCATTATGTTTTCATTAGCGTTAAGCGTCTCATAGTTTTCACCGCCACATTTACTATACTTTGTAACATTAAATCACTGTTTCCTCAAAGCTAACGTTAGCTAGAATTTTTTCCAATCTAGTGTTCTAATCACACCGGTTTGACCATATGTGCGAAAGGGCTAATCACACCGGTGTAACCGTACGCGCAAAAGGGTTAATTAGTCAGTCTAAAGATGCAGATCTTCATCGCTTTCAATGTGTTTTTGTGCTGCTGCAGTACGATGACCTCCTCAGTCAGTTCAGCAGCATGCAGGTGGCCCAGCCCAGCTCTGAGACCGCACCCACACAGAGGTTCAACAGCAACATCGAGCAGTACATCCACGACCTGGACAACAACTCCTTTGAGCTGGACTTGCAGTTCTCTGACGAGGAGAAGCAGCTCCTGCTGGAGAAGCAGACTAGCGGAAACCCCTGGTATACCTCTTCCCTCCTCTTCTCCCTTCCCTTCTGCTGCTGGCAGACACAAGAACAATCTTTCTGTGGATGGTGTTTCAGAGGAGTTTGATTGATTGACTGCCTTTGTCACTCCTTAATATTGACATAAAAACCAGTGGAGATTGTTCTAATTTATGACAATCCCATGCCTTCTTGTTTTTATGTATCTGAAGTTTATAGTACATTTTCTCTTAAAGCTACTGTTCTTAACAGTACCACTTAGTTATATATTATTTTTTATTGTCTTCACTTAATATTGTTCTGACTCATAATTAAAAGTGAGTTGCTGTTTGTATGCCCTTACCATTTTCTTTATGAACAAAGTTTAAATAATGTACTCTGTAATCATTCGTGTTAATTTAAACATTTTTTACACATGCTTTTATTTATTAAAAGTTCCTGTGTATAAGACCCTCTCTGGTTGACTTCACACAGGCACCAATTTGTAGAAAATAATTTAATACTCAAGATGGGTCCAGTGGACAAGCGGAAGGTAAGTGGAAATGTTTTTCAGGTCTATTTTGACATCACTTGTAGCCTTCACAGCTCAGTTTCCACTATGATGACTTTTTCTCAAGAACCATTTACATTTCTCCTCCATCTCATTTAAGGCCAGCATAGCACCCTCTAGTGTACATTGTTTGTAGTTGTGTTGAAATGTGCTACTGCATTGCACATTGCCAGCATCTCCTCTGTGCCTGACAAACTACTGTTTTTTTTCTTTGTCTGTGAAAGGGACTGTTTGCCCGGCGTCGTCAGCTGCTCCTGACAGAAGGGCCGCACCTTTACTATGTGGACCCTGTCAACAAGGTCCTGAAGGGGGAGATCCCATGGTCCCCGGAGCTGCGCCCAGAGGCCAAGAACTTCAAGACCTTCTTTGTTCACACGGTAGTTTAAAACTACAGCTACTGCATGCATCAAAAGAGCGACAGTAGTGCATATGGAAAGGCCTGGATGTTTAAATAAGGGAAAAGTACTAAATTAATATAGAAGTGTTTAGTGAACACTTTCCCTCATATCTTGTCAACACTAGGAAGTGGGTAAAGCGGTAGAAATGGGAAATGGGAACATCCTTACATTTTAAAATCTTCTACGGCTCTGTTTAATAAATTTATTTTCTCCTCACAGCCCAACAGGACATATTATCTAATGGACCCTAGTGGAAATGCTGACAAATGGTGCAAGAAGATTCAAGAAGTGTGGCGGAAGATTTACCACAAGCACCAAAACACTGGCATGTAGATCCAGGGCCGAGAAGGGCCCACTAGCTCCTGCTATGGCCAGACCTCCCTTCTACGTCTGAGGCTCATCAGTACAGCACCACCTGCCCTAGTGCCCTTCAGCACCACACTTTAACACTTCTTTTAGAAAGGCTGGCTTCTTTACTCTGTTTTCCTCCTATAAAAAAATGGAAATAGGACAAAAAGACATAATTGGTATTCAGGGTTGCTTTGCTTGTTCTCTGTGCTCTTGAGACTTCAAATGCATTATGTCATGTGCGGATGAAGATCCAGCTGCCATGCACTTCTGCTCTCCTGCTCCAAAAAACTGAGACAATGACAAGAAATAGCCTTGTGTTTTCGACCGCTTCACTTGGATTAAAATAGAACGCCACATGCGCACATACACCTAGACAATGCAGAGCACAGTTCTAGTCATGAGGAGGAACAGGGGCCTTATTCCTGCGACTTCTCATTTTGTAATCACAACTGTCAGGGAGCTTTAAACAGAGAAATAAGCATACAGTATGTTTGCTTTTTTTACCTTCCTCTTTCTGGCTTTTTCAGTATCAGCAGCTTGCAGTCAGTGATAGCGCAATTCATTCTGTTTTATAAATGATCGCAGGTTTACAGTGGTACTTCAAATTAGCATAGGTGTCTGTGCTTAAGTATAGGTTCTGGATAGACTGACAATTTACTGTCAATAATACTATAATACAAAAATGCAAGTGAAAAAACATGTACCTTGCTTGTCATTTTTTAACCATAATACTAGCATAGTCTCCCCACATGGCCAGTTGGAAATTGCAAATCCTGTCATTTTGCCTCATTGGCATCTTTCAGAGGACACAGGAGGATTCACAGATCCATTGCTGAGAGTAATTGACTAAAGTTAAGATGGGTATTTTGACTGAGTTGAAAACAGTAGATTACATAACTAAACTATTTAGCTGTATTCTGCCGGTAACTGGCATTTTAACTACAATTTATAATCATAAATGTCTTTCTGTTTAGGACAGCATGCTCATCTTGAATTTGTTCTGTTGAACAATAAAATCAAACGCTGTCCACTATGTGTAGAACAGCTCTAGTATAGAGAAGCAAACTGAATTATAACTACTGTCACTATGAAGTAATCGCAGCCAAGGTCTGCAGTAAAAGAGCAGCTTCACACCTTTGCCCCTGTTAGATGTTGTTTTGACTTGTACAGTTCATTCCCACTTTACAAAGGCGCACGTGTCCACAGATTTGTTTGGTCTCTCTACATATGACCTGGCCTGTACTTCATAGTTTGGTTTTGATTTTTCATTTTTGTTTGGTTTTTGTTTTTTTTTCTTTGATGGGACACTGCAAAAAGTCCTCGGTGGATTGGATATGGCCATGATCTTGCAGTTGAGTCAGTCTGCAGCGAGCGACTGTGTACAGGAGCAGCCTCAGACTATAGTGTAATCAATTAGTTTGGATGTCAGCAATAAGCTATTTGGGCCAAATAGCAGTTGAAATTGCTGTATCTACCTTTAAAGTAAGCAAGTACTACAGGAAGTGTATGTTTCTCTTGCTCAGACTTTTTTATTTTAGTATTTTTTTATTATTATCAAGTTGGCGGCAGTCGGTTACATTGTGTATTTAATACTCTACCTGGTTCGTAACCGACAAGAACTGTGATGTACAGATGACGTATTATTGAAATCTAAAGCAAGTAATGCAATGATATTAGGATACACACTTTTTGTATTTTTATTCTTGTATAAGGTTATTTGCTGGCTATTGTTTAGCCTTTAGTTCATTCTGTGTTATTTAAATTCTAATATATGAATCATATTTGGATTGGAGTCATGTTCAGGGGCCATGTTGTGTATGTATTGAGATGTAAAGCCTTTGAATGTGAATAATTATTGTAAACTATGATATTTTACAGCTTTTTTTTCTTACTATATTATATACATTTTCTATTTGGTCAGTGATTTAATCATATTTCCCATAATTTAATGAATCTGTTCCTTCTCTTTCCAATTATTTGTGCGCTAGGTATAGTTGTTGGATGATGAGTTTTCCATGTAATGCTTGGTAGTCCTGTAATAAAAGCATGTAGGGTTTTAGGCATACAACAATACCCTGCTTCTTGTCTTTTTGTGCACTGTGTCAAGCCTGTGACTTTATGCACTACCTGATCAGCCTTAATGCCACAGTTAGGAAAAAGGCCAGGTTTATTTGTTTTTTTTTTTTGTTGTTGTTTTTTTTACTTTATTTGAGCTTGTTTTAAAAATTCAGACATGCTTAATTTTTTCATTTCCCTTACACTCATCCAGTTTATTTTTACATTTATTTAAAAAAGGTTTAAAAATGCATCTAGCTAAACACTACCCTCTAAGGGCAAGTGTGGTGCATGGCAATAAGCCTGGTGTGATGTCAGCACAGTGAGTGCACAAAAAGCAACTTGAAAGAGTTGTGTAGCTTGTACATACAACTATAGAATTCACAGACAATGCACGTTACAGAAGGGGACAAATGATGCCCAGTGAGTAACATTTGACATTTGTGTTTAAAGAAATAAAATTAAGTAGAATTTTTGAATTGACAAGTTGCTGATGAAAGGGCAAAACTTTTGCATATATTCTCATAAAGGGAATACTTTAGCATGCAATTAAAGTGCTCAGCATAGTTGGAAATCTGTATTAGTCCATTAATCTGATACTTCAGTTAAAGCACTTGGGACGTGATTGTGGATTTCTTACGTCAGATATTCTCACTTTGAATTGTGACCTATTTGTAAATATTCATTCACAAGTTACCAACTGAGGAAGTAACAACATTATGTCTGTAAAATGTCTGTAAAAAAACAGTTGCAAATGAAGCAAATTGCTCCAAACAGTCACTGAGGAACCTTTGACAGGAATGACGGATTTTTTGTAAGCATTTTTTAAAAAATGGCTTCTTCATGATTTATGTCAATTTCTGCTCTTCTGGCAAGAGAGAACTTTTGCGGCAAATTGTGATTCACTGCCTCTTGAAATAAGTTTTATATTGTCAACTAAAAACAGACAGTTCTATTTTCTATTTTTATCAAAAGGAGTTCTGATTGTTCTAATTTGACTTCTATCTCATTCTTCAGTGTTTGGGTGCATAGAAGGGTATTTTAGTTGGCTTGTGACATCAAGGGTTGTGAAGCAAGCAATGCACAGAGAAATAAAAGCAGAAAGCAAAAGGCACACACTGGTCACAAAGCCAAGGAATGACAATGTGACAGTCGTTTTAAATGCTGGTACAGTACAAGAAGAGCAGCAGTGTAGCATAGTGGTTAATGAGTAGTACTTGTAATGGAAAGGTTGCCAGTTCAATTCCCCACAGGGACACTGCTGCAGTAAATATCCAGCTGTATAAATGATACATTGGTTACAATTTTTTTTTTTTTTTACAATGGTAAGTCGCTCTGGATAAGAGCGTCTACTAAATGCCAATAGAAAAAGAAGAGGAGACAGTGCACTCTGCTGCAAGGTGTAATATGTACATCCTAACAATGCAGACTAATTCTCATTGAATCATATCAGACAGCCCTCCTCCCAAAGACTGGGTGTGACATTAATCAAATCACAGCTAAAGCTTATTAGGGAGACTTATCCAATCTCTGAAATGATCACACCCGTCATTCGTACTCTCCTTTGGAGTCAGAAGATCTAATTATGACTCTGACAGCTAATCCAGTTGAAACACCAGTGGGCCATCTATTAACACCCTCCCTACTGGTAAGTGTTAGAATAGTCTGAAGTGGACTCTAGAAGCGCAAATATAGTCTACTTTACAGTCTGAAATGGTCACGTATTTTTCACAACTTCTGGAATAAATGCCATGTCATGTGAATGTCTAGAAATGGTGTATACCTGTATGTATATACCATCTGTATAGATGTTTGGCATGCCCCGCCACCCAGTAATTTGGCAGATGACGTACCTGCCACTCCTGTGTTTGTAAAGGGGTAGATAATGGAGAATGGTTTATTTCTTACACGTGTGGAGAAACAACACCAGAGAGATGGAAAAAATCCATTTCACGTGAATCTAATTCCCCTCTGAGTTTTTTATAACATCATAGTGTTCTAAACTACTGAACAGAACTACTTGAAGAATCTTTCTTTGTGTGCTTAACCGAACATAACTGAAATGGAGAATGGAGGCATTCTTCATTATGTTCTGGACTTCCTAACATGCCTACATTCAAAGGATGTATAGAAGATGCCCTGGATTTGGTCTCAGTTCAGGCTGTGTCTTTTTCAAAAAGTTTTGGAGAACACAATTGGTAAATGAGCACTTGCACTGAAAGCTAATATGCCCCATGTGTATACATTCTGTGTACTGTAGAAGGGTCAAACTAAATTCTCTAATGGCTGGTTTGCATTCCAACAAATTCCCCTCATGGCATTGGTCTACAATATTTAATTAATCATGACCACTGGCACCAATGCATTAAAAGTTTTCTTGAATAAATGACACAAATGTAATCCTCCTCATATCACCATTAATAAAAACAAAAAAAACACAAACTAATTGCTGATTAGGTCATTAAACCAGCATACCACATAGCTCTTGGGGAATTGTGATTATCAAGTTGAATTTCTACCAATTATGCATCTGTGCATTATACAATCTGCTAAGCACTGCATACAATAGATGCCATAAATATTATAGCCTCTTTTCTGGTCAAGTCAACCAGAGATTCCTCATGAAACAGATTTTGATTCTCACCATGGTCGTATATAAAAATGCATTTCAGGATCCATGATCATGACCCAACTTTCATAATAATATTTTACGCAGTGCAGTTTGTGGGAATCATTGAATACACACTTACATATTTAGTCTGACATGGGAAAAATGTCCTTCCTCTATGCGATTATCTGTTTTCAAGGGGCTAGTTTTCTTCTGGACAGAAAAAATGAACCATAAAATCAGTGAATGATTACGTACCTTTAACTGGAAATATATGTAGCAAAAGGCAAGAGCAGTCACCCCACCCGGCCTTGAACCTGGGTCTACGAGGTATCAAACATGCAACTTGACCGCAACGCCAAAGAACCAGGCTCGTTGGTATGGCAGTCAGAGCGCATACTCAACCATAGTGACAGCACTCCGTCACACTGCTCTCCCCTTTGGGAAGCGCGCCCATGTGCTTCACACGCAGAGGCGTCCCTCACGCTTTCCCCCACCGTACTTCTCCCAACCCAGGGTGCCCCACTCACTTGTGCTTCACCCATCTTTGGGGTCCTTCACACTGTGCTTCACCCATCTCTGGGGTCCCTCACACCGGGGTCAACCTAACATGGGGGTCCCTCATACGGCTCACACACCAGGCACGCCTCTGATGGCCTCGCGGCCAGCCATCCCACTGCTGACACCATATGTAGCGAAGGGCGAGAGTAGTCACCCCACCCAGCCTCAAACCTGGGTCTACGGGGTACCAAACATGCAACTTGACCGCAACGCCAAAGAACCAGGCTCGTTGGTATGGCAGTCAGAGTGCATACTCAACCGTAGTGACAGCACTCCGTCACAATATATAATAATATAATTATTAATATACATACTTCACTTAGGTTTGGTGACGCTTGACAAGTTTTCACAAAAAAGACCAGCATCCTCCAGAGAAGTCACAAAATGGTTTTAACAGCTCAGGGAATGCTATTTAATTTATACTATAAAATAATCTTCCTGACTAATTGTATTTATTCAATTTATGCATCATTTCATAAATATCTTCTTATTTCATTTGATTGACTGTAACCCTATGAAAAAAACTATAATGTGACAATTATGAAATAAAGTTTCTCTAATATGTCAAGTTTTTCTCATCTGATTTGTACAAAGTTAGTCTGTGTATTTTAATTCTATAATTCATAAACCGGCGACTGTTGCTAAAAACAGATACAACGCGTGAAGGTAGTCAGATTATTCAAATATGTTTGTCCTGTTTGTAGCTACTTTCTGTTTTTCAGGTATCATTATCATCATCATCGTCATTCAAATCATTTACCATTTTAAGTAGGGTACAAGGTGTACCACTTTGAGAGTATTTTTCTACCGACAAAATATACTTTAAATTTACTTAATTTATAAGACTAGGAAAATTCGTGTGGGCTATTCGTGGCCTTAATAATCGGTTTTATTCCATAGCAAAATAATAATAAACATAAAACGGGTTTAGTATACCTAACTTCGCCTCGGTTAGCCCATAGGCTACTAATTATTGTATATCTCCTTCAGTCGATCGTTCTGCTTAACTGCCTTGACATATGCAAGACAAGGGTAGGCCTACCGTACGACGTGTTTCACTGACGACACTGACAAGGCTGACGGTGTAGAGCGCTGGCCGTGCTGAAAAGCGTGTAAAGACGTCGGGAAGCGCATCACGGTCCGCTTCCAGCGTTGAAGGAGGCAGCAAGGGAAAAAAGGAGTGGCGTCGCTTTAGCTTGTAGGAGGGAGCGATATTAAACAAGGGACACTTCCTGCCTACCAGCTCAGTTCCTGTACCACACGGTGGAGAAGAGGGATGGCAGAGCATAGCTCCGATATCAGCGGCTCCGGCTGTCGGAGGTGTTCCGTCCATTCTCCCGGAGAAAGAACGCAAACATCCGCCATCGGGGCATCCAAGTGGGTCCGCTTGAACGTGGGGGGCACGTATTTTTTGACCACGCGACAGACCCTGTGCCGAGATCCGAAATCTTTCTTGTACCGACTGTGCCAGGCCGACCCCGACCTCGACTCCGATAAGGTATCAGAGATTTGGGGTAGGGGTCTGTGATGAGAATGGGGGCTTGCTAAATCAGGGGTGGTCAATTATCAAAGTACACAGTGTAACTATCATTGGTTGGCTATGCAAGCTTTTCTGATTTTCCCAGAATTGTATGGCGAGGACTAACTGCACGGTTCAGGGTACAGTTAACCTTAGCTAGCTAGCTATCGTCTCTAGCTACAACTCAACCTAGAAATTGTGCTGTGGGTTAGCTGGGCTTTATTGACTTATCAGACATGTATGTGGATAGTCAGATGGTTAGCTGTGCTTTATGTTACAGTTGTAACGATTATTTTAGCTAGCTAGCCTGCTACATAACTAAGCATTTCTAAGGCCAAGTTAACAATTTAACAGTGCAGTGCACCAGACATACTCTAACGTTATATTGGAATTTGTGCAAGTTCGACCAAGACGCTATGAAAACCAATTTACTAGCTGACATACGTTCAGCTAGAATCCAACGTTGGATAACGTCAGCTAGCTGTATTCTCAACAGTTGAGTAAGTTACCACTCATTTATGAATAGCTTTATTTTACTGTTTGTCCCTTTTCAGGACTGTATTAGTTATTACTGTACAGTTAGGGCCGGTATAATTCAGGGCAGACTTAACCAACGAGTTAGAAATTGTAGTGCTGTAAGCTATACAGCCTAACTGTAGCTACATTCAAAACTAGTCCGCTGACAGTAGCCAGTTAACTTTACAAAGTTGGGTTTATAACCTTGCTCTTTGTGGTCTGTGTTGTAAGTTGATTTCATTCTGTCAGTGCATTTAGCCCGTGATATTGGCAGGTAACTGCAGGAATGCACAAGCATAAGCATAGCTAAAAAGGTTGTTGTGGTATGAGGTTTAGTCATTAAAATGTAATATTTCTGATTTGATGGAATTTATTTTCCAGTCTTAATCGATAGTGATATTTACACTTTAGCTGGCTGGCATTCTGGTCTCGCTTTGCACAAGTTACTTACCAGCTAGCTCCAAAGAATGTTAAGCTCACCGATTGAGGAGATTTCTTGATAATGTTTTGAGAACAGAATTTCAGAAATGTTGGGGACTAGAACCGACTAGCCGAAGGGGGCGGATAGGAAAAAGAAGTGTCTCACTTGAGCGACTCTCCAAGGGCTGGCAGAGACAAAGGAGCTCATTAATAATGTCTGACGCTCCATTTCAAGGCTAAATTAAACCGCTCTCTGCAATACTTTGCCGTATCCCATAAATAATGAATGGCTTTGGTGCTTCTGTCCCCGCTTTGAGCGAGATGTGGGTGTTGAATGCTACGGCGAGTTACACTTTACAAAAATGCTTTAGTTATGGCATGCAGATACAACGTACATGGCCATTCTGCTTCGTAATTATCACCTGTGTGTTTTTTAAGTTGTGGAGTTGTTGGTTTTAACTTTGAACACTAGGTACGATATAGCTCCATTGATCTACTCATTACATTTGTATCTTGTGATAAATGGCAAACATAAATTGCTTCAGTATTCTTTTATGTCCCGTTTCACAACTTCCCTTGGTTAAAAAAGGTTGACAAGGTTTATTAAATGCTACAGTAGTCACTAGTCACAAGACAGGCT